GTCGAAGGTGGCTTGGGGCCCACGCGCGCAGGAGGCTTTGCGGACTTGTGTCTCCCAGTGCCCCTGGCAACAGGAGAAGTTGCGCAGGCATTCGTACGTTGACTCACCAGTCTGCAAGCTTTGCGGGTCGGAGCCTGGCACGCCGCTCCACGGGTGCTACCGATGTGATGCGAACCAGGTACAGCGAGCGAGCTGCTGCAGTCCGTTGCTCATGCGGTGCACTTCTAGCCTGGAGGCCTGGCACCAAGTTCTTGACACGGCCGCTGCTGGCATCTTCCCCCTCGCCCCCGAGTTGGCTCCCCGCTCCTGTCAGCAGCGAGGCTGGAGTGTTCAGGGCCAACCGCCCCGCCGATGGGGGGGTGTCGGGCAGCATTTTGACCGATGGCTCAGCTTTCGGCCCATCCAACCCATTACTCACGCACGCGGGGTGTGGGCTGGCCATGGTGGGTGACAACGGGCTTTCCATCGCGGGTTGCTACGGAGCGGTCCCGTGGGAAATGGCCCCGTGGCAGGCGGTCAGAGATGGGGAGGATCACGCCGTGTATATGGCTGCCCTCGGATGCGTCACGGGGCCAGCGACTTTCTATGTAAATTGCGTTGCCGCGGTGAATGCTGCCAGATCGCCTAAATTTGCGGTCGGTGCAGAGTGCAGTCGAGCTCGCATGTGGACGCGTTTCTTTCATGTCCATGATGTGGAGCCACCCCTGTTGCGAAGATCTATTCTCCTCTCTCCCCCGAGAATGGCCGGGGAATCGCCCGCCCCCTCCGCGTACTTGGCTATTTTGCACAACATGTTGCCGAGTCCTCGTTCTCGGATGTTTTTTTGTGTTGCGCTCCGGACGTTCTCGGTCCTTTCGGGGTGTTGTTCCTTCTGCCGCGTGGGCCTCGTTCTGGGATCGAAGCGTCCTTTCCGTTGTTCAGAAGGGCGCGCTCTCGCCCCAGTGCGGACCACTCTTCTGGATCCGAGTCCTTCCCCACCGTTGCCGCCCCTCCCCTTTCCCCCTTTTCCGTTTCCCCCTGGTCCCTCTGCTCCTCCCGATCTTTCCATTCCAGTTCCTGATGTTGTTGTTCGTCCTCGTCCTCCGCCACTCCTGTTCTCTCATGTTCCTCACTTGCTCCCTGTTCATCCTGCTCATCCGCAACCTCCTCCTGTTACTGCCAGCTCCCCTTTTCGATGGAGCCTAGGGCGCTGGGTTTTTTGTTGGAGTTCCATGTCCGCTATGACACGCATCCACGGATGTATAGAGAGAGGAACATCAGCGCGAGGGAAAGGGATGGGTGGAAGGGGTCGAATGTCGGGTACGGCGGGAGCGCGCATGTCTTGTCGTCTCCCCCCCCTCCTTCTTGCCTTCCATTCTCTCCACTTCTTCCCCATCCTCTTTCCCCTGCTCTTGTTTCTCCCAATCATCTCCTCCCCCACGCTGTCCTCTTGTTCTAGCCCCCCGTTTTCTCTCTCTCTCTCTCTCTGTTTCTCTCCCTGCCTCCCTCTGCTATTATGCCTTCCCTCCCTCCCTCCTCCTCCCTCTGTTTCGTTTTCTCTCAATCATGCCTTCCTCCCTCCCTCTGTTTCTTGTACCTATCATCCTCCGCCACATCCTGCGTTCCCCTCCTGCTCTTCCACCGCTTTTTCCTGCCCGAACCTCGTTATCTCCTTCTTCCTCAGCGATATTATGATGATCCTCGTCTCATTCCTCATCCTCCGCATCCTCCCCACTTCCTCCTCCCTCTCGCCCCAACGCCACCACCGAGCCCCAAGTAGCGCACCCCCCAGCCCCGAGCCATCGTACCACCTCGCTCCTCAGCAACTGCAGCGCCACGACCACCGCACCACCACCCATCCCGTCCAGCCGTCCAGTCGTCCAGCCGTCCAACCGCCCAACCGCATCAGCCGTGTAGTCGTCCAGCCGCTCAACCACCCAGAGTGACCGAGGTTGCGGCGCGCAAGGTGCAGCTGGGCACGCCAGGGGCGGCATGGCAGGCTGGTGAACCCGCCCTGCCGCGGTGAGCGGTGCGGGCGGCGGACGGCTCATATGATGCCCAGGTGCGGGGCTCGAGCTTATCGGTGTTTTGGCAACCTCGTGGGCCGTTTTGGTGTTTACGCCGCTTGGCACCAGTGGCGGAACGAAGGCTGAGCGAGAGAAGAGAAAGACTGAAAAACAGTCTGCCCATGATGCTCCGCTGCCCCGATACACCCCGTCCTGAAAGGCAGCACGTACTGTGTTCAAAACGTGCGTGTTGGTACGTTGCGTGTTTGCTCAACGTGTTGGTCCACGTTTTGCAAACGTATCGCGTCAGGCCTACGTGTTCAGTTTATGTGTTTAGCTCCGTGCCGACACGCTACGTGTCTCGTTTTGCGTATCGGGGCATCACTGTTTAGCGCGAGCCCTGCCCATGTGCCCCTGCCTCTACGCCCCACGTGCCGCCCCCACCCCCCGACTCCGACGCCGGCGTCGGCGTCGGCGTCGGCGTCGTCTGCTTCGGCGCAGCCACCCGCGGACAGGCCCGGCGGCTGGCCGCCGCGCTGCAGGCGGCCGAGGACGCGGGCATCGCAGAGGCCTTCCCGCCGCCGCCGCCTTCGGCGGCCCTCGGCGGCCCTCGGCGGCCCTGGGCGGCCCACGATGACGAGGATGACGACAACGAGGACGACGAGGACAACGACGAGGACGACGACGAGGACGACGTCGACGACGACGACGACGACGACGACGACCTAAGCCCCTCCGTCGGCGGCTTTCGGCAGCCTGGGGCGGCCTGCGATGGCTCTCGGCGGCCTCCTCGGCTCCCTGCGGAGGGTCTCGGCGGCCAGCTGGCGGCCGAAGGGGGCGCCCGAGCAGCAGCGCAGAGGGCGGCGGCCTCGAGCGGCGGCTCCCAGTGGGCCCCGGGGCCCTGAGGTAACCCCCCCAGGGGGCCCAAAGACTGTCAAAAGACGTCCCCAGAGTCTGGGGAGGAGGAGGAGGAGGAGGAGGAGGAAGAGGAGGAGGAGGAGGAGGAGGAGGAGGAGGAGGAGGAGGAAGGGGAGGAGGAGGAGGAGGAGGAGGAGGAGGCTCTCCTGCAGGGGCCTCCTCCCTGCACCTCCTTCCCTCGGGTCGCCCGCTACTCCCCTCGTCCTCGGATCCCCCCCTCCCCTTTTCGCCCTCCCCCTTCCTCTCCTCCACTGGGGGCAGAGCTGGTTCGTCGACATCCGTTTGCCCAGACTGTTTCGCCTGGACCACTTCGCTGGCGTACCGCATCGGCCTTTCTTGCCCGCCCCACTCGCCCGCTCTTTCACCCGTTTGGGTTTGCACCCTCGCTTGCGTGAAAGCCCGCCCGTTTCAGTGCCCCGTCCGCCCCCCGCCCGCCCGCCCGTTGGTCCGTCAGGGTCCACCCGCCTGCCTGCCCAGTCGCTTGCACTAAAGGCTGCCCGCTTTAGTGTCCCGCCCGCCGTCCCGCCCACCCCGGTCGTCGCTACCCTTTCTTCTCCCGCTTCACGCCCTCCATCGTGCTCCTGTCTTGCCCCCTCTCGCTCGCCCCATTATCCTTCTCCCCCTCCCCCAGCCCTCGTATCCCCCCCCCCTCGATCGGTCCCCCCTCCTTTCCTTTCCTCTCCCTCCTTCCCCCCCCTCTCTCCTCCCTCCTTGCCTGCATCCGTTGGCATCGCTCGGATGTGTTTTTTCTTCGGCGAGGACCATCAAGGAGCATCTCGGGCCCTCTTGCGAAAAAAAACGCATGGCACCGAGACATGCACGGGAAATGGACGTTCGAGAGATGGCGAGATCCTTATTCCCTCATAGATGACTCTTAGATGACTCCTCCGTGTTACAAAACCCGGTTTGTCGGCAGGGAGGGCGGGGCGTTTCGCCGCATAGCCCCATAAGCATGTATAATAATGCCTTCTCAGACCGTTTTGGACCGTTTTGTTTCCTGCACCTTCACCCCCCCTCGAAGATTCCAGAATGGGTGGCGATTCCCATTCTCGCCTCAGCACCGCGCGCATTCGGTTTACTAACTTTCGACCATTTGAAGGATGGTGGGCGGTGCCTTTAAGCAATGGGACTCTCAACTCAGCAGCGCACACATACGCCGTACATGTGTGCAACAGCTATGGGGATTGAGGGGTGCCCCTTTGCACAGTTTAGCTTTGGCTTGGGCGCGGCACGCATTCTTTCTTCCAAATTGGTGGACTCATTTGACACTTCCGCAAATTCAACAGCCAGAAGTTCGACCGTCTCGAAGACGCCTAGGGCGAATCACCGCCGCCCTCTGCCTTGTGGAATCGCCCACGTTGCCGAGTCGTGTGGCAAGATCTCTGTCAAGCTATCGGACCATGTATTCCCCCAGCTGCTGTGGAAACCCTTCGGGGAAAACTTGAGGCAGGATGGCGGCGAAGATCAGGAGGAAGGGAAGGAGGGTGAGGAGGAGGAGGAGGAGGAGGAGCAGGAGGAGGAAGGGCTTCTTGCGAGCCTCTGAGGGCACTCTTGGGACCTCCTGCGACCTTCTGGTGAGCCTCCTGGAGGCATCTTGGGGGCCTCCTTGGGCCTCTTGGTGGCCTTTGGGGGCTTCTCGGGGGCCTCGTTGGCAGTCGTACGGCATTCCTGGCCCGTCTGACGTCGTCGGAAGTCGTCTTGGGGGCCTCTCTTGGCCGACCTGGGGCCCTCTTGGGGTGCTGCAGGGCCGTCTTGGAAGCCATCTTGGGCGTCGTGGGGGGCCCCTTGGGCCGTCGTGGAGCTCCTTTAGGCCGTCTTGGGGGGGTCCCTTGGGCCGTTCTGGGGTCATCTTGGAGGTCTCTTGGTGATCTTGGGGCGATCTTTGGGGGCTCCTGGGCCGTCTCGCGCAGTCGGAAGGTCGACAAGAAGCAAATGCCAACATCCTTCAGACATCTAAGGTGCATCACTGAGTTTGGCCTGTTCGGGCCGTCCTGGAGGCCCTCTTGGGAGCTTTATGAGCCGTTTTGGATGCCTCTTGGGAACCTCTTGGGCCGTCTTGGGCCATCTTGGGCCGTTTTGATTGCTTTTTCGGCGAACTTGGAGGCAAACCAGTAGGGTTCAGCAAGCCAGGCACCCCTGCGGCAAGACCACAGGGGGCAGCGGATCGAAGACGCCTACGGCGACTAACCGCCGCCCCCTGCCTTTTTTGGAAGCGCCTGTGTGGCCGAACGTTGGGCTAGAGCTTGGCCAAGCGATCAGGCCATGCGTTCCTCCAGCCGTCGTTGAAACCCTTCGGGGGACACGTGAGGAAAGGGATCATGAGGAGAAGACGGGAATGGGAGGAGTAGGAGGCGGAGGAGGAGGAGGAAGAGGATGAGGAGGAAAAGAACGAGGAGGAGGAGGAGGAGGAGGAAGAGGAGGAGGAGGAGGAGGAGGAGGAGGAGTAGGAGGAGGGGGAGACCTCTGGGGAGCCTTTTGGGGCACTCTTGGGGTCTCCTGGGCACTTCCTGGGAACCTCTTGGAGGCCTCGTGGGGGTCTCCTTCGGCCACTTGGGGGCCTGTGGGGTCTCGCTCGGGGCCCCTTTGGCCGTCATAGGGTTGCTGGGCCATCTGACGCCGTCGGGGGCCGTCTTGGGGGCCTCTCTGGACCGTCTCGGGGCTCTCTTGCGGTGCTTGAGGGCCGTTTTGGATGCCATCTTGGCCGTCTTGGGCCCTGGGCCCCCCCTTTGGGCAATCTCAGGGGCTTATTGGGCCGTCCTGGGGCCATCTTGGAGGCCTCTTGGGCGATCTGGGGACGATCTTGGGGGCCTCTTGGGCCGTCTTGGGCCGTCGGAGGACCGAAAATAAGCAACTGTCGAAATCCTTCAACAACCTGAGGAACATCAGATTTTTGGGCTCCTCGGGCGCTCCTGGAGGATCTCTTGGAGGCCTCTTCGGCAATCTTGGAGGCCCCTTGGGGACCTCTTGGGTCGTCTCGGGCCGTCTTCGAGGCCTCTTGGGCAGACGTGGAGGCATGTCGGACGCTCTCGGGCCGTGTTGGAGGCCATCTTGGACCATCTTGGGCGAACGTGGGTGCCATATTGACCGTCTTGGAGGTTATCTTGGGCCAACGTGGCCATCTTGGAGACCATCTTAGGCCATCTTGAGCGGAAGATTGTGAGAATTGCGGGCCTTCCGGGTGGCCGGTGGGACGGGCCGAAGCCCCAGGGGGAGATCTTTTGGACAAAGAACCAAAACCAAAACCGTAGTAATTCGGCACGCCAGGCACCCCTGCCTCTCTCGGGCACCGTAGTAATCTTGGGCCGTCTCGGAAGACCTGTTGCTGCCTTTGCGCTCGTTTTTGCGGTCCTTTTCTGGTGGCCGGCGGGACGGGCCGACGCCCTGGGGGATGGTTCTCTTGGGAAAGAACCGAACTAAAATCGCAAGACGTCCAGCACGCCAGGCACCCCTGTGATAAACCAACAGGGGGCGGCGGATCGAAGACGCCTACGGCGAATCACCGCCGCCCCCTGCCTTTGTGGAAGCGCCTATGTGGCCGAACGTTGAGGCCAGACCTGCCAAGCCATCGGGTGTTCCCCGAATCGGTTTGGAAAGCCTTCGGGGAACACGTGCGCCTCTTGAAGGTCATCTCGGCCGCCTGGAGGCCATTTCGACACTTTCGGGCCTCCTTGGAGGACGTCTTGGAGGGCTCTTGGGCCGTCTTGGAGGCCATCTTGAGTGTCTTGGAGGCATCTTCGGCCGTCTGGAGGGCCTCTTGGGGCCGTCTTGGGCCTCTTGGGCGATCTTTGGGGGCACTTTGGCAGTCTCGGGCTGTCGGAAGGCCGACAGAAAGCAAATGCCACAATCCTACAAAAACTCATTGCAAATCAATGATTTTGGCCTTTTCGGGCCTTCCTGGAGACCCTCTTGGAGGCCTCGAGACCTCTTGGGCCGTCTAGGGCCATCTTAGGGCCATCTTCGGCCGTCTTGGTGGGCCCCTGGCCCGTCCGACGCCGTCGGAAGCCGTTTGGGGGCCTCTCTGGGCCGACTTGGGGCCCTTTTGGCATGCTCCAGGGCCTTCTTGGAGGCCATCTTGGGCGTCTTAAAAGCCTCCTGGGCCGTCTTGGGGGCCTCTTGGGGCCGTCTTGGGGCCTCTTCGGCCGCTCTTGGGCCATCTTGGAGGCCCCTTGAGCGATCCTTGGGCGATCTTTGGGGGCTCTTGGGCCGTCTCGGGCCGTCGGAAGGCCGAAACGAAGCACATGTCAACATCCTTCGAACACCTACGGAAAATCAATGTTTTGGGGCTTGTCTTGCTTTCCTGGAGGACCTCCTCGAGGCCTCTTGGGCCGTCCTGGGCCAGCTTCGAGCCAACTTCGGCCATCTTGGTGGGCTCCTGGCCCGTCTGACGCCGTCGGGAGCCGTCTTGGGGACCTTTCTGGGCCGACTTGGGGCTCTTGCGGTGCTCCAGGGCCGTCTTAGAGGCAATCTTCGGCGTCATGGGGGCCTCTTGGGTCATTTTTGTGCCCTCTTGGGGCCGTCTTGGGGGCCTCTTGGGCAGTACTGAGGCCATCTTGGAGGCCTCTTGGGCGCTGTGGGGGCGATCTTGGGGGCCTCTTGGGCCATCTTGGGTCGTCGGAAGGCCGAGAAGGAGCGAATGCGAAAATCCATCAACAACCTAGGGAACATCAATGATTTTGGCCTCTTCGGGCCATCCTGGAGGACCTCTTGGAGGCCTCTTGGGCTGTCTGGGAGGCCTCTGGGGGGCCTCTTGGGCCGTCTTGGACTCTCTTGGGCCGTATGGGAGGCCCGCTTGGACCATCTTGGGCGGACTTGGAGGCCATCTTGGGCCATCGTGGAGGCCATCTTGGGCCAACGTGGCCATCTTGGAGACCATCTTAGGCCATCTTGAGCGGAAGATTGTGAGAATTGCGGGCCTTCCGGGTGGCCGGCGGGACGGGCCGAAGCCCCAGGGGGGAGATCTTTTGGACAACGAACCAAAACCAAAACCGTAATAATTCGGCACGCCAGGCACCCTTGCGATGAATCGAGAGGGGGCGGCGGATCGAAGACGCCTACGGCGAATCACCGCCGCCCCCTGCCTTTTGGGAAGCGCCGATGTGGCCGAACGTTGAGGCCAGACCTGCCAAGCCATCGGACCATGTGTTCCCCGAATCGGTTTGGAAAGCCTTCGGGGAACACGTGGGCATCTTGAAGGTCATCTTGGCCGTCTTGGAGGCCTCTTGGGCGATCTTTCGGCGATCTTTGGGGGCTCTTGGGCCGTCTCGGGCCGTCGGCAGGCCGAAAAGAAGGAATGTCAAAATCCGTAGAAAACCTTAGAAGCAATCAAGGTTTTCTGCCTTGTTTTGCCTTCCTGGAGGCACTCTTGGGGCCATCTTGGAGGCCATTTGTGCCGTCATGGGGCCCTCTTGCTCAAGCAATTCGGGCTCAAGTTTTTTGGGCCTGCCTCTGGGCCTTCGCGAGGCGCTTGAGGTCTAGCCTCCCGACGGGAGGTGGCTGACACAGAGGCAATCTTTCGATCATCTTCCAAAGGTTTTCAGCAGCGGCCATGGCGAACCGTTACTGGAGTTATGATTGGCGTCGTAGCAAAGCTGCTGGTTCTCATGCGCATCGGTGGCGTTGCGGCTCGTGCGGATGTGCAAAGAACCTTTCCCGTTTTTGGTTCTGCAAACAGTGCGGAGGTCTCCGTTCGGAAGTCATTGTCTCCCCTCGTGGTGCAGGAGGTGAGCCAGATCCCCTTGCCGTCGGTGGACCACTCCCTGTGGGTCCTCAAGGTGGTGGTACCAAAGCAGCTGGTGGGCCACCGTCTGTTGTCGGCAAGGATGATTCTCTTTCGGACTCCGAGTTTGGCCAGCTCGTGTTGCTCAGTCGCAAGATGGGGAATGAGGCCCAGGCTGCTGTTCTTCAAGGGCGTCTCGACAGGCGCCGCCAGCAGGAACAAGCAGTACCCCTACAAGTGCAGCCCAATTCTTGCCATCGCCAGATCAAAACTTCGGAAAAGAAACTACTTGGAGAAATGAAACAATATAAAAAATGGGAGCATTGGTTCGCGGGAAAGAAAAGTAGTATCGGTCAGCTTCGTACCCAGTTGGCAGAGCAGTCAAAACGGCACCAGGAGTTGGGCGAGCAGGTTCGCGTTTCACTCCAAGGCAACGAAGCTCCTTCCAAGACAGAGTCAGCACCTCAACAAGTATCGCTCAAGACTTTCCTTGAGAAAGGTGCAGATACCATTTCATTTGTTGATGATAGTATGGAAGAACCTTTCGGAGTGGATCCCGAGATTTATGAAGTTTCAGACACGGACCGCCAGGAGCTCGAGACCAGAACGAACAAGTTACGCACGGCACTAGCTGACGCGTCGCAGAGCTTGTTCGGAGAAGCGAAGAAACATTTCGAGGAGCTCAAAAAGGCCCATGCTAGCCACGTTCAGAGATTGTCCAAGAAGCGCAAAGGACCTGACGGTGAAGCCAAGGCTGCCCAACCTCCTCCTCGCGCTGATGGTGCAGCTGAGAACGCCGGTGGTGAAGGCCTTGGCATGGGTGGCGGTAAAGGATCATCAGGCAGTCAGGACGGACCCGACACCGTCAGCCAGAAGGTTCGTACAGATGAGCTCTTGGCCCAGGCAGATGCCATCATCGGAGGCACGTAGTCAAAGGAGGCCCCCCCTGCCTAGGCCTAGCGCAAGGCAGGGGGGTTTCCAGCAGCACACACGTACGCCTTCGGCTTTATCATCAAGTGAGCTTGCCAGCGACGCTGAGGGCTCGACCAGTAAGGCTGCTTGCGCAGCAAATTTTTTCGGTCATAACTGTAGTAATCTGAATGCCGACGCTCACCTCCAGCGAGGTGCCGACGCGTTCCCCTGATCTTCCAACGGGGCTCCCGAGCCCTTCGGCCCGCCTGTCTGTGGGCCCAATTTTGGCCCTGGTCTGGACTCTGGCAGTCCTGGTTTTGTCTCCTTCAGGACCCCGCCCGAGCCCAGCCCAGGGGACATCGCTTTGTGTCTAGAAACCTGCAATGCCACCTCCTGGGGGTCGTGCAAAGAATGGTTGGCGCACGCGAAGTCTCACCTGATTGCTGTTCAAGAACATCATATTGCTTCGGATTCTGGCTGCAAAGAAGCAGCCGAGTGGTGCTTGAGGAACGGCTGGGAAGGCTTGTTCGCTCCCGCTTGCCCAGGTCGGGGTGAAGGTAGCAGTGGAGGTGTCGCTATCCTGGCCAGATCATTCCTGGGATTCCATGAACTTGATCAGGGCTCCATCATATACCCGCACCGTGCAGTGATCGGAACGCCCCTTCTTCCTGGCGTCCGTATACTTGCATCATTCTGAGGGCATGACGGACCGCAATTTGTCCATCTTGAGTGCAGTGGGAACTGCCTCTACACTGTACTCTAACGAAGGTGTGATCGCAGCCTACTTTAACATGTCTCCAGATGATGTCGTTGCAGGAGGTTTTCCTGAGAAGCTCGTGGGGGACGTCGTGTTTCCGAAAGTTGAAGGTACTTGCAGCACTACGGGAGGGCCAGAAGTTCTGGACTTCTTCGTGGTCACTTCTGGGATTTTCAAGGTTATCCAGGCCGTGGAAACGATCGAAACGTCCCACGTTACTCCCCATTCTCCTGTGCAGTTGATTTTGTATCCGAAGGCCTGCAGGATGCAAGCCCTCGCCTTTTCGAAGCCGCCCCCGATTGCGGCTGTCAAGCCGGTTGGACCTGACCCTAAACCTCCGTCTTGGGATAAACTTCGTGGCCTGGCCAGGGGTATCATTAACTCCTTAGTCCCTGGGGAGTGGGTCAGTAACCAGCTGGAAGGGCTCTCTAGGTTGCATGGCCGATGGGCCCGCATGGCCGAGGTTGAGGTCGCTGCTGCGGCCCAGGTCTCTCTGCCGCACTGGGGTTCCAGGGGCAGAATGCCGAAGCTTCGTTGGGCCCCGGTGTTCAAGGCAGATTCTTGCAAAGGCCGTCACCCCGAGTTGTTCGGCCTCAAGTGGTTCCTGCTGGCTTTCAAGAAGTGGGCTTGCGCTTCGCCTTCTGCCAAGGAGCTCGGGCTCAAAGCTTCGCTTCTGTTGGGCGCTCCTGCCGAAATGGAGGCTGGATCGTCGACGTGCCGTGAATTGATTTCCCAGACGCAGGAATTTATCCGTCTTGCGCAGAAGGAAGGTTCGGCTGAGTTTTTGGAGAGTCATACCCTCAAGTAGACAATCACACCCAGGTTCCCAAGTTCACCCTGGATTCGGGCCCCCCCAAACTTGCGAACGTTACCACCATTGGTTTAGATGATGCGTATGCCGACCCTTTCGAAGATCTGGACCAGGCCGAAGAGGCCATGCATGAGTGCCAGTTTGATGGGCACGGCTTCCTTCTTCCCCACGTTAGCCACACTCGGACTCGAAATTTGCTGGTGGGGGCTGATGCACCCAGGGGCGTCTGCTGCGACCCGATTGCAGGTCGACACGATCAGGAGTGTCCGCTCCATCTTAATGATATTCTTCGCTGGCTGGAGGCTGCGGTGTCGTCGGCGCAGAGCAAGGCCAGGACTGACGGGGCCAAAGTTTGGAAATCTTGGCTTCGTCACAACATCGAGTTAGGGAGAAGGAATGCTCGCCTCGCCCGACGGCCCGCTGTGGGCTGGAAGCCCTCGGCGACTTTGAGTTCCTCGGGCGTTGCGGTTTCTGACCCCCTGTCCCTTGTCGAAGGGCAGGCAACAATTCTCTCGGACTTGTGGGGGGCCTCCAAGAGGCCTAGGCCTGCCAGGGCCAGGAAAGTCACGGAACCTCTCCCTCAGATGTCGGTAGAGTTTGTTAGGTCTGCCTCTAGGAAGTATTTCCTGAGGACTCCTGCGGGCTGGATGGGTCTCATATGCGTCATTATTCCTGGATGAGTGATTATTGTCTTGAAACGGTTTGCTATATCATGTATATCATGGGGTTATGTTCAACCCTTCCAACCCAACTACAAGTTGTGCAACTAGCGCTGCTTATGAAACCCCCGGGAGGCTGGAGGCCTATAGGTCTTTTCTGCTCTATCTACCGACTCTGGGGCCGCTGGAGACGATGCTATGCCTTTCAGTGGGGACTGCAGTATCGGAGGAGTTTCTACGCCGGTCAGTCATTTGCTTCAGCCAGTGATGTTGTATGGAGGCAAAGTTTCAGGGCAGGAACCTCGAACTCTTCTGGAAATGTAAGTGCTACTCTTCTGTGGGACATGGCCAAGTTCTACGATGGTATATGCCTCAGTCGGTGAGAGCATCACTGCATAAAGTTCTACTTCCCCCCCTGCTATTCTCCGCTTGGCCATAGCCTCGTATCAGTCGGCTCGCTTCGTGTACCTCGCTGGGTATGTCTCGGGGCCCTTCTACGCCGTGAAAGGGGTTATGGCTGGGTGCAGTTTCGCTACCTCGTTTGTAAGAGTATACACTATCGAGGCGTTTACCAATCTCGTGTATCCTAGCAATGTATCGTTCGACCAGCACATCGACGATAGCGCTGTGTCTGCTGTTGGATCGGTCTCAGAAGTGCCGCATGGTCTCAAGAGTGCCAGTGCTCAGCTGTTTCAAGCTATCACGCACGATTGCGGCTGCAAGACTGCTGTCGACAAGGCCGCACTTGTTAGCTCCAGTCATGCGGTCACTAGGGCTATGCGCAGTTTCCTGGGGCCTTATGCTGGCACGGAGACCGACAGCGCGGTCAACTTAGGCATTGACGATGCGGGTGGCAAGCCCAGACGTGCAGCCCGTCGTGGTACCAAATTCCGTGCAAGAGGTGAGCATCTGAAGCAGACGACCAAAAAGGTTGTCAGGATGAAGTGTTGTTTTGGGAAGTATTCTAGCCGCATTTGGATCACTGGGACGCTCCCTGGTGTTTTATACGGTTCTGAAATCAATGGGTTATCAGATTTTGAATTGCTGAAGATAAGGAGGGAGGCCGGCAAGGTTCTTAGGCCTGGTGCCAAAGGGCGCTCTCTCACGGCGACGATGATATGCCATAATGATCCTGTCTGGCTAGGAGCTGTATCACTTATTCTTCGATATGCCAAGGAGGTTTGGTCACTACAGACACATTCCTACCCTTACTCGCTAAGCTGGGCACAGTTGCGGGATGGATGGGATGTGGTGTTTGCTCGACCTGAGCCAGTGTGGAGGCAAGTTTCAGGACCGCTCTCAGCATCAACGCTATCGCTGAAGAGAATCGGATGGCATGACTGATTTCGTGACGTGTGTAAATGACTTCAGCGAGTCTTTTCTTCTCGCTGTTGTTCCTCCTGCGATGGTCAAGAAAATGCTCCACGCAGCTTCGCTTCGCAGTCTCGAACGGGATGCGGCTGCCAAGGCCGCAGTCGGATGCCCTCGGCTCTGTTTCGACATCGTGCGCAATCGTTTGAGATCTTCCAAGATATCTAACCTCGGCAAAGGCTGCATTCGGGGTCTTACATGTGAAGCAGTGTGGACCTATGACCGTGCAGAAAAAGCAGGCTATCTTGTCAGTAATGTTTGTGCTCTGCGTGGTCAGAAAAAGGATACTACCTTCCACAGGCTCTGGCGCTGCCCTTATGTTTCCTCGTTGCGAGAGGAGCCGGTGGAGCCTGATATTCTGAGGATGGCCGCTGACGCGGATATGTCCGACCCCCTCGACCACCTGCTTTTCAACAGGGGCCTCTTCCCACACCCTGGCGACGCCTTCCCTAGGCCTGCCAGCGAGAGTGGACTCATTCAAGCTCGTATGCTCTGGGGCGACCCCCCCCCAGGATGGTGGCACATTTGCAGGTCACATTTTTGTCGATGACAGCTGCCTTCGACACGAGATTAGCGAATTGTCCCGTGCGGGTTTATGGGCTCGTGGCTCTGGGCGATGATGGTCGTAGGCTTGGCAGGCTCCTCGGGCCCGTGCGCGCCCCCTTCCCACAGACGTCTCAGTGCTCTGAATTTGCGGGAATTGCCCGCGGCGGAATGGAGATAGGGGGCCCTTTCCACCTTTTTCTCGGACCGCGCTAATGTTGTTCACCAGTGCGAAGCCCCTTCTGCTGTGCAGCTCAGTTATAAGCGTCCTTTCGCGGGGCTAATGATGCTGTTTTGGGTCGGGGCTTCTCTCGCCGAGTCGGTCGTTAAGGTCAAAGCCCATCTTGACCCGTTGGAAGCGGGAATTTCTGACCAGGAGCGCTAGCTGCGCACTGGTGATGCAGAGGCCGATGAGGCCGCCAAACTCGCTGCTGTTTCTCGTCCAAGGGCGTCCGACAACGAGCTCAGGGAGCTCGATCTGCGCATTCGGATTTCCAAGGCGGCGTGCGCTTTGGCGGCCAATGTGCCTCCCAGATGGCCCCGCCTTGATTTGTCGGATGCCCCATGGATAGCCCCGCCTCCCGAGCCCAAGGAGCCCCAGGGTCCTCCCCACGAGTGGGCTTGCGTCTCCTTGGGCGCGCGCAGTCTCTGGCGGTGTCAGAATTGTTTGCGCGGGCGCACGGTTGAGGGTTCTGACCGCCCCCCTCCGCCAGGTGTTTGTGATGATGCTTCGCGGCTCGACGGCCCAGTCTTGCGGGAATTCGGCCACGTGCCTGTCACCATTCCCGTTTCGAATGGCACGGTGATTACAGTTTGTATCCGTTTCTATGCCTACGCCGCTCTCAGCCATGTTCGAGGCTTGGCTAAGGAGTGTGTGAAACCCACGCCCAAGCAGAGAACCTTGTTCAATCGTATCTGCAGGGGGCGGCACCCACAAAGGGATGACCTCACTGTGGGGCCTGTGCCGTGGTGCTAATTTCTGGCCTCGTAGTTCATGTCAAAAAAAAATCATGGGGCCTTCTTGGGGGCCTCTTGGGCGATCTTGGGGTCCTCTTGGGCCGCCTTGAGCCGTCGGCATGTCGAGAAGAAGCAAATTCCCAAATCCTTCCAGAACCTAGGGAAAATCAATGATGTTGGCCTCTTCGGGCCCTCCCGATGAACCTCTTGGAGGCCTCTTGGGCCGTCTGGGAGGCCTCTGGGGGGCCTCTTGGGCCTTTTTGGGCCGTCCTGGACTCTCTTGGGCCGTCTTGGAGGCATCTTAAAGCCATCTTAGCCGTCTTGGAGGCCATCCTGGCCGTCTTGGAGGCATCTTGGAGGCCATCGTGGAGCCGTCTTGGGCGAAAAATCCGACGAGATTGGGGAATTGGGGGCCTTTTGGGTGGCCAGCGGGACGCGCCAGAGCCCCAGGGGGAGTTTTTCTGGGAAAAAGAACCAAAACCAAAACCTGAGAGGGTCCAGCACGCCAGGCACCCCAGTGATGAATCAACAGGGGGCGGCGGATCTGATGGCCTTCGGCCCATCCCGCCACCGTGCATGGGTTGTGGGGATGAGGCCTATTGGATGTTCGTTGGCATTTTGTGGGGGGCCTCTCGGAGGTCTCTTGGAAGCAGTTTGGAAGCCTCTTGGGGGCCGGTTCGGGGCCTATTGGGGCTTCTGCCTTTAGGGGGCCTCCTGTACGCCTCTGGGACCTCCTGGGGACCTCCTTGGGCAGAAGGCTCGGATTTTCAGTCCGCGTTCCCTCTCTTAGGGGCGTCTTCGGCCATCTTGGGGCGGTCTTGGAGGCCTCTTGGGCCATCTTGGAGCGTCGGTAAGCCGAAAAGATGAGTGACCAACATCTGCCGGAAACACCGATGGGCAGTCAATGATTTTGGCCTCTCGGGTCCTTCTTGGGAGGCCTCTAGGAGGCCTGGGGCCGCCGTCTTAAATGCATATTGAGGCCGTCTTGGGGCCAGCTTTGGCGTCTTGCGCTGACCTCTGGGCTGTCGGGGCCCTCTTGGGCCGTCTTGAAGACCTTCTTGCGCCCTCTTGGCCCGTCTTGGAGTCGCTGTTGGCCCGGGGAAACTCATGCCCCAGAGGGCACGCGACACGCACTGGTAGATTTGAGAAATTGGGGTCTGGGACCCTTAACAAAAAAATCTCAGGACCGAGGAATGAGGCTGAGAGGATGAGGCAAAGGACTTGAGGAAACGCCCACTCCGTGTCCAGAGGCACGTTGGCAGATGCAAAAGCAGCACCTATGGAGGGCGGCTCGTTTCACAACGGGGTTCTCGCTAGCGCCTTCCACACGCTTACAGAACACCAGTGCATACTTGTGCACCAGTTACACGGATGGGGTGGCGGCTCCTTTTCGACACGGTTGTCTCAACATCAGGCTGTACTTCACGATCCTTCCTTTTAGCGTTCTTTGTCTCTCGCTGCAACGATGCGTGGCAGTTCCTTGTGAGCGGCAGGCCCACGCGGTGCTTACCCTTCAAGTGTTTTTGTCTAGTGAAGCGGAAGGCTTGCAGAGTCTTCTGAGGAGGGGGCTGAGACGGTAGGGTGTGCTGAAGCTTGTGCACCCTGGGATTGCTCTGGTCCCCTTCCCTCCTCCTCCTCCTGCTCCGCCTTTCCTCTTGTCCTCCACCTGCTCCTGCCCATCCGCGACGACGACTTCGAACTTCGCCTTCGACGACGGCGCCTGCGACTGCGACGCTGACAACGTCACTCACGACGAAAGACGACGGCGCCGACGACAGACAACGGCGACGTACGACGTATGACGGACTGAAGATGGCGACGACCCAATCGTCGACACACCACAGGCGACGGGCGACGGACGTCTGCGGCGGCGACGATGGCGACGACGACCGCGGTTCCGACGACGACGAGGACGGCGTCGAATCGAGCTTCGACTCTGCCACTCGACTCCGGCCCCCACGGCGTCGGCGGCGGCGACGGAGACGACGGCCGACGCGGGCGGCGCCGCCCGCCTGCGTTCGCGCGCGCGGCAGGCTGAGCTGGGCCCCGCGCGCCAGGCGTTGCTGCAGGCCCGCGAGCGGGAGCAGGACGCGAGCGCGCCGCCGCCGCCGCCCCTCCGCCGTCGGCGTCGGCGTCGGCGTCGTCGTCGTCGGCGTGGCGCTGTGCCGGCGGGCGGCCGCCCACGTCAGGGCCTGCTGGCCTGGCGGGGGTGACGATTAAGGCGCCAGCCGCCGGCCTGCCCACCCCCGCGGGCGCGGGCCCCCCCTTCCCACCGCCCCTGTCCGCCCCCACCCGAGCACGCGTAACCAGCGGGGTCAGGTGGCTCACACCCCGCGGCCGTGCTCCCCCCGGTGCCCCCTACTGGCCTGCCTGCTTGCTGCCCCTCCTTCCTCCCTCTCCTCCTTCCTCCTCCTCCCTGTCCTCCCTCTTCTCCTGGGCCCGGAGGCCGCGTGCTGGCGCGGAGCTGCCGGTGCAGTCTTTTCTCCTCCGGAGGCCGCGCGCTGGCGCGAAGCGTCCTGCCGCGCGCCCCAGCAGGCGCTGCCGTTGCCGTCCCTTCTCCTCCTCCCTCCTCCTCCCCCCCTGTGTGCCGGGTCCTTTGTACGGAAATCCGTCGGTACAAATGTGCACCCTTTTTTTTTTCAGGCCGTCGCGTGTCTGCGCGCCGGAGAGACGGGCCGCACACCTGCGTCTGTCCAGTTTCTTTTGTTTTCTACCCCCTCCTCCTCCTCCTCCTCGTCCTCCTCCTTTCCCCCCTCCCCCTCTGTTCCCTCCCGCGTGCCTGGTCCGAGGCATCGAAGCACGCAGCGTGCCGCGCGCCGCGTGGGCGGGCCGCGGCTACTGGCGCGCGGTTTCTTCCTCCGTGCCCTGTGGCTGTTCTGCGGCCTCCGGGCTCTCATGAGCCGACGTCCCCCTCTCGTCGTTCCTCTTCGTGTCCCTCGTCTTTCTCGCCTTTCCTGGCCTCGTGGCCGGTCCGCTTGTCGTCCTCGTCGTCGTCGTCTCGTTTTCCTCCACCCCACGTTCTCGCCGACTTGCCTTGGTTGTGCCGGCTTCGGTGCGACGCTGTAGTATCGAGGGGCCCCCTTCCCATCAGTTGGGAAGCTGGCGATTTCTTGTTTCAAGCAAAAATATTAGCGGCGGTGGCGGCGACGCCGCCGCCTTCCATGCTCGGTCCGCTGGCACTTACTTTTGGCCATGGCCGGCTGTGTGAGTAAGTGCACTAAACCAGTACGGCTTCCGCGAGGTTTTAGGCCGGAGTACGGTCCAGTTTGCGTGTTCTCTGACGTCAGGTGCTGCACCGCAAGGTATGCCAGCGCTTCGCCCAAGTGCCCTGGTCCTCCGTTCGTTATCTGCCTCCCCGCCTTGCTATCAAATGCATGGCCGTCGTTGCAAGAAGGGCGTTGCTTGAACGCTAGAACGACTTCTTCGGATTATTGGCTTCATGCCGATCGCCTGGTACAGCAACATGAACCTATGAGCCGACATGCTGTTTAATGTGCTGTCATAGTTTCATATCCTGTGACGCTGGGCTGCTGAGACATCCTCGTCGGCGTCGTCGTTGGCATCGGCTTCGGCGTCGGCGTCGGAGTCGTCGTCGTCGTCGTCGACGTCGTCGGTGTTTCAGTCGTTGTCGACGTCGTCGTCGTCATCGGACGCCGCTGCCGTCGCCGTCGCCGCCGCCGTCGCCGTCGTGGCAGGCGGAGTCTCCGGCGCTGCTCGGCCTCGCCGCGCCACCTCCCCCGTCGTCGCCGCTGCCGGCGTGGTTGGTCGAAGAGAGGAGGGGCGTTCGGATCTCCTACAGTGGGGGCGCGCATCAAGAAACCATCTGCTTTTCGTCAGGGTATCCTGGGTTTCTTCGCTCCTCGCGCTGCGCGGTGACTTCCTGCAGCCGTTGAAGGAGCTGCTACATTCAGGGTGCTCCAGGTTTCCCCTTAGGTGCACCTCGCGCACGGGTTCTCAGGGTTGGGTTTTTTGCGAGGGTTTCTTGCGGCCGCGCCCGCACTGCATGTCTGCACTGCAGATCCAAGAAATCCTCGCGGAGCACCAGCATTTATGACTATTGCGCTGTTTCTTCTGCTAAGGCAGTCTTGGTGGATTTCCGGAAGTTTGCGCTCGTCGGCTTATTTTGTCCTTGCAGTGGTGCGCGGGGGGGGGGCACACGCAGAGTTTGGACACTGATTGTTGCCCCTCGCTTGGAGCTGACTGAGGCGTTGTTACGTTTGTGCGTCAGGGTGCCAGCCACTGGTCGAAGTGGCGTTGGGCAGCGTTTCAGGGAATGCCCCGGCATATCTCTGGGATACGGGTAATCATGACACCGCTACTCCTCTACATCGAGATCCTGCTGTATAGCGTCGTCGATGCTAGAACCGTGAGGCAGACCACCTTGCGAATTACATGATTGGCATGTTGCATTCTTGGCATTCCATTCGTTTGATTAGGAAGATGTCGAAGATGCGCAAGGTATATGCCATTTTGACAGCGGCATTTGAAGTTGGTAACTAACGGGAACTGATTTTGCTGGCGAGGCGGGGCATGTTCTCATCTACTCCTGTACATTATTTTGCTGCAGCTATGATCGCCCTGGAATAATGTACAGAATTATTGGGACGGTGTTTCAGGAATGTGTCATCTGCCATGTACGCGATTGCTGGCAGGGCGGCGATCCCACCATTGTTGGTTGCTCAGGCAGAATAAGAATCATGAGTTGAAGGTTGATCAGCAGCGGCAGCAGCAGCATTGGGACGAAGAAGAGGAGCGGATGAGGAGCATGGAGAGAGGGAGGAAAAGCGGAAGAGGGTGAGGGGTAGGATAATGATGAGGACCAGGAGGTGGATGATGAGCAGGAAGATGAGCAGAACGATACGAAAGAGAAGAAGGAGGCTGACTACGAGGCCGTCGCCATTTTGGTGCAAGGTTAATTTGCTCTCGCCGCGCCCGTTGGGGGCAGTCGCGCCAGCGCGGATGGCGGCCCCCGCCCCGCGCCCGCGGCCGCGCTCCGCGGGCTCGGCGCAGCAGGGCAGCGCCGAGCCCGGCCAGGGCGCCTGGCTCGGGGAGCACGCTGCGGGGGCCCTCGGGGAGGCGTGGCTGGAGCTGCCCTGCGCCGTCGCGGCCTGCGCCCGCAGGTGCCCGCTGCTGCCCGAGCCGCCGGACCTCCCCACGCAGGGCGCCCTGCTGGCGGAGGGGCGCAGGGCGCTGGCGGCGCTGCTGGGGGCGCCCGGGCGCGGCGCGGGCAGGAACTCGGCGAGCGCGCGCCCGCGGTCCGCCGACGCTGGCGCCCGCTGCCGCGCGCTCGACGGACCCGTGCTCGCGGAGGCGTGCGGCCTCCTGGGCCTCGACGCGGGGCCGTGGCCGACGGTGAGGACCACGAGTGCGTGCCGCACGCGCCTGCTCGTCGTCGCCGGCGCGCTCAGCTGCCTCGCGGCCGCCCGGACGCCAGACGGCCTCGAGGAGGTGGCGGCCTGGGCTCTCGAAGGCGTGGCCAGGCTGCTGCACGCCCTCGCGCTCGCCCGCGCTCCGCGGGCGCTGCCAGGCCGCCCCCGCAGCCCGGCCGCCGCGGGGGGAGCGCTGCCGCTCGGCGCCACCTGGGGGGCGGTGCCGGACGAGTGGCCCTGGCCTGGCGGCGCCCACCCCCCCGGGCGCGGCGGGCCGCACCCGGCAGCGGGCGGCGGGCACTCGCACGAGCAGGCCGACGGGGGCCTGGGGCGGCTGCTCGAGCTCGGCGCCGCGCCCGCGGAGATCTGCGACCTGGTGCGGCGGCTCTGCGCCCAGCCGCGGGGCGAGGGTCTGCCGAAGGTCTCCGCCTCGCTCCGCTCGGCGCTGCGCCGCGACGCTGAGGGCCGAGCCTGGGCGGCCGCCGCCGCGGCGCTCTGCGCCCTGTGCGCGCCCGCTGCCGCCGCGGGCGCAGCGGACGCGGCCGCGGCGCGCGCGCTGGCCAACGCCGTGATCCTCTGCGGCGCCGAGTGCCGGGGCTCTGGGGGCGCGGGCGGGCAGCTGCCGTGCAGCGCGAGGCAGCGCGGCTTGCTGCGGCGCGCCCCCGCGCTGTCGGCCGTGCAGCGCGCCAAGCTCGATGAGCTCTGCGGCCCGCCGCCAGCGTGGCGCGGTGCTGGCGCGTGTGCAATTGGCGTGTAGCCATCAGGCAGCTGAGCCAGCTACTGCATGAAAAAAGAGGGAGACTGAGAATGCGGGATCGTCATCGAGGTCGCCACTTGGCGGCCCGAAGCACGGAGCGTCTCGCAGCCCATGCCTTGCCGCAATGCCTGACTGTTCGGCGATCGACGGCCGAAGACGACGATCTTCGACGACGTCGGTTTACGACGACGATCAGCGACGACGGCGACTTACGACGCCGATCCACGACAAGAACCAACAACAATTGTCGCCGTCGACGGCGACGTTCGACGCTAGACGACGACGACGGCCCGCGATTGACGACTGTCGATGGCAATCGACGACGACGACGATTGACGACGACGACTTGGCGTAGCCGACGACTGTCGACGATCATCGATGGCGTCGGCGACGGTCGACGACTACTGTCGACGATCGATGAATGTCGTCGATCGGCGACAACAATCCACGACTGTCGACGACAGCGATTCTAATCCTCATGTGTAGATGTGTCCGCTCTCACGGAGGCACAAACACATGCAAGTTTGGGAGCATAGCCTGACGAGAATTCAGTGAAGAATATTGTCTAGTCGGATGATACCCTATTCGTTAACTCAGGTCCTGCCGTGTTGCGGAAATTGTCATAGCATGGAGGTTTGCGGGGCTCGTTATGGTTTTCAGTTTCACTAAAGAGTTTGGAGGCTCAACTTGAAGCCAATGTCACGAATGCTTCTGGCGACCCTGCCGCATGCACAAGCTCTCTTGGTTATCTGAGCGAGGGGTTCCTGCAGACGACACAACTGGCCCATAATCGAGTGGCCTCGTGGTGGGTGAAGGCCATGATTGTAGAGTCTCGGAAGCTGTATGGGCGTGCTACGCTGTGCCGGCTGATATGTTTAAGTTTAAACGCATGCGTTTTACCGGAGGTGGTGTACATCTTTTTTTTACATATTGCGGCAAATCTGACTGCAGATCGCTGTGAAAATTTCACGCCATCTGCTCGTTGCAAATAGTGCGTGTACCGCTCGCGTATGTCAGCCGAGTTTCCTTTACCCTAATTCGCGCACTGGCCAGAAGCAGGCTATCGAGCGAGAGTCTCATGCAGCGGCAGAGGTTCTCATCCGTCAGCTCGCAGGACGCCCCGTTGGGGCAGCTCGGTCATGCGCGACTGTCAGTCCGCGGCTGGATGAGCGACGGCGTTCCCTGTTCCACCTCCCTCGCCTCAGAAGGCGGCGACGGCGGATGTGGACGTCGACCACGACTATGCCCGCGTCCGTGGCGACGATGACGAAAGACGACGACGACGACGACGACGACGACGACGATGTAGGACGGCGAAAGACGACGACGCCGACCGACGCGGGGCGACGGCCGACGGGGACGGACGACGACGGCCACGACGACGACGACGACGGCCGGCGGTGGCCTCAGGATGCCGCGACGCGGAACCGCGCCGCCGAGGAGCGCGGGCCGCGTTCGCCGTCGTCTGCTGCCGCCCTCGCCGTCGTCGCCGGCCTCCTCCTCCTCCTCCTCCTCCTCGTCCTCCTCCTCCTCCTACTCCTACTCATCTTCCTCCTCCTTTCTCTCCTCCTCCTCCTCCTCCTCCTCCTCCTCCTCCTCCTCCTCCCATCTGGCGCGGGATTCTCCTCCTCCCCTGCTTCCTCCTCTTTCTCGTCCACCTCCTCCTCCTGGTCACCGAACTCGTCCTTGTCACTGTCACCGTCGTCGCTGTCGTCGCCGTCATCGTTGTGGCTGCCGTGGCCGTCGCCGCCGTCGTCCTCGCCGCCGCCGCCGCATTCGCCCCCGCCTCCAGCGGCGCCGTCGCTGTCGCCGCCGCCGCTCCCTGCCGCCGTCGGCGGCGGCGCCTGCAGCCGCCGCCGCCGCGGCCCTGCAGGAGCTCCGCCGCGCCGTCTCCAGCGACGACGCGGGCAGGGTCGAGAAGGCCCTGGCGGCCGCGGAGGCAGCAGGCCTCGGGGGCCCCGAGGCGGCGCCCGCGCGTCGTGGTCGTCGTCGAGGGAGGCCGTCGTCGCCCTGGCCGTCGCGCGGTGGTGGTGGCCGTCGTCGTCGTCGTCGACGTCGTCGACGTCGACGTCGTCGACGTCGTCGTCGTCGTCGTCGTCGTCTTCGTCGTCTTCGTCGTGGTCGTCGTCGTCGTCGTCGTCGTCTTGGCCGTCATCGCCGCCCCCGGCCCGGCTGGCAGGCGGCCCACGCGCGCGAGCGGCTCCGCCAGATGCGCGGCCGCACCGGCGCCGAGCGCGAGTTGAGCGAGGCCGCCCCGTGGCCGCCGCCGCCGCTGGAGGTCGTCGGCGGAGGTTGCCACCGCCAGAGGTCGTCCGCCGTCCGTCATCTGTCGTCCGCCGTAGTCGTGGCCGTCGTGCTCGTCGTGGTCGTCTTCGGTCTGTTTTTGTCCATCGTCGCGGTCGCCACTCGGCGCGGGGCAGCGTTGTCTTCGCGCGTCCGTCGTCGTGGTGGTGGTGGCCGCCTCGTCGTCGTCGCCAGGCGTCGTCGTGGAGCGTGTTCTTCAACCCCCTTGGCCATACGCGCGTCATGGCCCCCCCATGACGTTACGCTTCCCCCATTCCCCCTTTGTGGTGTTCTTCCGGCACTGCCATGGTGATGCTCGCAGGCTATTGTGGTGTTTGCAGGCTACTTGGACATTCGTCGTCGTGTCCGAGGGCCTCGCAGGGACTGCTGACGCTCCCAGAGGCCTCCCGAGATCTCCTGAGGCGGCCGTCGTCGTCGTCGTCGTCGTCGTTGTCGTCGTCGATGTTGTCGTCGTCGTTGTCGTCGTCGTCGTCGGCGTCGTGGTCGCCGATTTAGTTCTCATCATCGTCCTCCCCGTCCCTGTCCTCGTTCTAGTCCCTGTCATCGTCGTCGTCGTCGTCGTCATCGTCCTCCTCGTCCTCGTGGCGGTCGTCGTCCTCGTCGTCGTCGTCGTCGCTGCCGAGGGCCGCGAAAGGCCTCCAGATGCCTCTGGAGGTCCCCAGAGACCTTCTGAGGCCTCCGGAGATTTCCAGGGACCTCCAGAGCGGCCGTCGTCCTCGTCCTCGTTTTCGTCGTCATTATCGTCGTCGTCATCGTCGTTGTCGTCGTCGTCCTCGTTGTCGTCCTCGTTCTCGTCCTCGTCCTCGTCGTCGTCGAGGGCCTCCAGACCCCTCCAGAGGTCCCCCGAGACCTCCAGAGACCTCTGGAGACCTTCAGTGGCGGCCGTCGTCCTTGTCCTCGTTGGCGTCCTCGTTCTCGTTCTCGTCCTCGTCCTAGACAAGTCCTCGTCCACGTCTTCGTCGTGATCGTCGTCCTTGTCCCCGTCCCCGTTCTCGTCTCGTCCCTGTCGTCGTCGTCGTCGTCGTCCTCGTCGTCTTCGTCGTCGTCGTCGTTTTCGTCGTCTTCGCCGTGTGTCTCGAAAGGCTTCCAGATTCCTCCAAACGTATCCAAAAACCTCTTGAAGCCTCTGGAGATTTCTGGAGACCTCGAGAGGCGTCCGTCTTTGTCGTCGCCGTCTTTCTCTTCCTTGTCGTCGTCGTCCTCCTCGTCGTCGTCGTTGTGATCGTCGTCCTCGTCGTCGTCGTCGGCCTTATCCTCGTCGTTGTCGTCTTCGTTCTCGTCCTCGTTGTTGTTCGTCCTTGTCGTCGTTTTCGTCGTCTTCGTCGTCGTCGTCGTCTGGCGCTCGGGCGCGGCGTCGTCCAGCAAACGCCAGCACAGAATAACGCTCGAAGGATGGTGTGGGGGAAAAAGGCATTGTGGTTCTGCACGTATGCGCCGCGCAGTACATAGGCGATGTGGTGCACGCGGCTGCGGCGGTGCATATTGTGCTGCGCACTGTGGTGCTTGCTATCATGCGTTCAGGCTCTGTGGTGACACAACCACACGGTGGGGGTGGGCGTTACGTTATGCACCCCCCCGGCCCATTCCGCCCCAAACGCCGGTAATGGCCGCGAATAAAAAAAAAAACTCGTGGTCGTGATTGTGGCTTTCTTTGCGTCGTCGTTGACGTCCTCGCTGGGCGCTATCATCGTCGTGAACGTCGCCATTCGTCGTGAGCATTGTCGTCCTGGTCGTCGCCGTTTGTCGTGGACGTCTTCCTTCTCTTGAGGAGGCAGAGGGCCAGGAGGAGGAGGAGGAGAAGGAGGAGGGTGAAAAGGAAGACGAGAACGAGGTGGACGAGGACGAACTTGATGGGGAGGGATGAGCGGAGGGACAGGAGGAGCAGGAGCAACCAGGGCGGAGTGATGAGAAAGATGAGGATGAGGCAGGGTGAGGGTGAGGGGCAGCATCAGCAGGAGGAGGAGGAGGAGTGCGATGATGTTGTGCCCCTCTGCCCTTCTGCTGGACGACGACGACGCTGACGACAACGGGGGCGACGAAGATGCTGACGAGCACGGCGGCGGTGAAGACGATGGCTACGACGACGTCGCTGCTGACGACGGCGAGGGCGGCGGCGGCGAGGGCGGCGGCGCTGGCGGCAGCGGCGACAACGACGACGAGGATGACGACGTGATCGTCGCCGTCGTCGTCGTCACTGACGACGCTGGTGGCGGCGGCGGTGACGCCGACAAGGCGACTAGCTCTGGCGACGTCTACCGCATCCGCGCCGCCCTGGCGACGGCACGCCAGTCTGGCGTGGGCGAGAAGGACACCTCGGGTCGTCTGTGTCGCCGTCGCCGCCGCCGTCGTCGCCGTCGCCACCGCCGTCGCCATCGTCGTCGCCGCCGCCGTAGCGGTCGTCAGCGTCTTCTCCCTCGTCCTCGCCACTTCTTCTGTTCAAGTTGCTTTCGCAATTTCGCCGACCCCCAGCGGAGCAGAGACCTCCATGGCGTTTGGTATTCTATGTTGGATGTGTCTTCACGCCCGCGAGGGCTTAGCCTCTTGAGGGCCGTTTTGGAGCTTCTTGGGGGCCTCGTGGAGGCTTCTTGGGGTTCTCTTGGGAGCGCTTCGGGGGTCTCTGGGGGGGCTTCTGGGGGCATGGGGGAAGGAAAGGCTCGAGATGTCAGTTCTGATGGCTTATGGCCTCAGGGTTCCTCTGGCTTCACGTGGTGCACGTCCCGAGCACGAACAGTCCAGTCGTTGTGGGGCCTCCTGTTGGGAGCCTTTGGGGGTCTTCGTGGGTGGGGGCCTCATGGGTCCTCTTGGGGCTGCGTTAGGCCGTTTTCGGGCCCTCTGGGGGGCCTCGTGGGCCGTCTTGGGAAGACCTTGGGGCGCGCTCAGGCCGTATTGGGCACTGTCAAGACGATGAAGGCGAGTATGTAGAGTATGTCAGTTTTCCGAGGGAACGGGGCGATTTGTTGCGTTTTGTAGCTCTCTCGGCGGTCATTTGGGAACACTGTTGGGCCGTCCCGCGGGCATCGTGGGCTTTCTTACAGCACCGTCACGGGGTTACCCTAATCCGTCTCGGCGCTCTCTTGGACTGTCTCGGCGCTCTGTTTGGGCCCTCTTGGGCCGTTTTGGGGTCCCTCTGGAGGCTCTGGAGAGCCCCCGGGAGGCGTTGAGGAACTGGTATCTCGTCCCCCCCCCCCAGAGCAGGATTTTGAACCCGTGTCCTGGAATACGAATAGTGTGTGATTTTACGTATGTGCCTATCGGTTGTTTCTCTTCTGTGGCTCGAATCTTACGTGTTTTACGCATGTGCTTATAGCTTGTCCTTCTCTTGTGGCTCCAATCCGATGTGTTTCAGGTGTGTGCCTAGAGATCGCCCCTTTCCTGCGGCTCGAATCCCATGTTTCTCACGTCTGTGCTTACATTTTGCCTCTATCCTGTGGTTCTGTGCTTTACGTGTGTGCCCATGGTTTGCCCTTCTCATGTGGCTCTATTTCTTTTGGTGGTTTACGTATTTGTGGCTCGGTAGCCGTGTGTCGACACATATGCTTATATATTGCCTTTCTTCTGTGTCTCGAATCCGATGTGTTTTATGTATGTGCCCATCGCTTGCCCCTGTCCTGAGGTTCGGCGCCCACGTGTTTTTTACGCATCTGCCTATACATTGGCCCCTTTCCGGCGATTCGAATCCTATGTGTTGTTCCCGCATGATCCTATATATTGACCTTTTCGCGGGGTTCGAACAGTACCTGTTTTACGTGCGTGTGTCTCCAGATTGCCCCTCTTCTGTGGCTCGAATCCTATGTGTTTTACCTTTGCCTTTATAGCTTGCCCCTGTCTTGTGGCTCGAGCTCTTTTGGTGTTTGGCGTACGTGCCTATGGATGGCCGGACCCTTGTGGTTCGAAACCTACGCGTTCTCTGCATGTGCCCGTACATTGCCTTTCGCCTGTGGCTCCAATCTTGTGTTTCACGCGTGGTGTGCCTATGGCTTGCCCCTCTCTTGTGGCTCGATTTTCATAATTTTACGCGTGCTCGCATCGTTTGCCTGTGGTTCGAACCATATGCGTTTTACGCACGTGCCTATATATTGCTCTCCACTGTGGCTCGAACCCCACATGTTTTACGCGTGACTTTATCGATTGCCCTTCTCTTGCGGCTCGAATAGTTGTCTGCTCACGTTTGTGACCACGGCCTGCCCTTCTCCTGGGGCTCTCACCCCACGCGGTTTACGCGTGTGCTTAGAGATTGCCCCTTTCTTGTATTATCCGTCGCCGTTCTGGCCACACTGCATCTGGGCTCTCGATTCAACGGCTCTCCGTCACGGTGCCTTCTAGGGCCCGATAAAGTCATGCAACCCGATTTCCCAGAACCCAGGGGGCACGCGGGAAACCCCGGGAGGCGCACGGGAAACCCCGGGAGAGTTGGCAATTCGGGGTCTGGGCCCCTAAGAGACTCCTCAGGAGCGAGGGTTGAGGATTAGAGTATTAGGCAAGAGACCTGATGACACGCCCACCCCGTGCCCAACGGCACGGCGGCGGATCATCGCTTGCGCAAGTGCGCGCCGAGATTATACTTGATGATGCTGAACCACCAAATGGTTTCACAGTGGCTCCACAATACCAGTTTCGACACCGTTTTTTTTTCACGATGCACACATTTGCGCGCGTGTAGCCCGCATGGCATTGTGTATTGGATAGCGGTTCTTAGGAGCTGCATGTGTAAGCGGAACGTATGCGTAACGCGTTGTACCTTGTGTGAGCGTTGCGGCGGGGGTCGGACGGGCCTTCTTCACCGAATTGTGTCATTTGCAGTTGAGCTCGCGTTCAATGTGCACCGAGTTCCCCATTTTGCAATGCACAGAGTTCCAGGCCGGATGCGGTGTGGTCCGACGTGGACTCGATTGCAACAATTTTGCGTTCGCGTTTGACGGGAAGCGGCATGGATGAGGGACACATGCGGATACAGGGAGAGAGGGTGGGAGGGAGGGAGCGGTAGGGGGGGGGACAACACTGACATGGGAGAGAAGGTGCGGAGGGAGAGAAGAAAGGCGGCACAGTAGACATGGAGAGTTGAGACAGAGTGAGGACCTGAAGGGATTATGCGGGAATGATGTAGGGGGGAAGTGAACCAAATCGACGGTCCTCGTCTTACCCCCCCTCCTTTGTTTGTTCCCCGTCGTCGTATTCCCTGGCGCCTCCCCTTCTCCTCCTCCGTTTTCTCTACTCCCCCCTTTTATTGTCCCACCCCCTCGAGGAGGGAGGGGCAAGGAGGAGGAGGAGGAGGAGGAGGAGAACGGGGAGGAGGAGGAGGAGGAGGAGGAGGAGGAGGAGGAGGAGGAGGAGGAGGAAGAGGAGACCGAGGAGGAGAAACAACAGCAACCGCGAGCAGCAGGCAGCCGCGAATCGGCAGCCCCCCCCGCCAGCAGCCGCAGCCGCAGCACACGCAGCGCGCTGCAGCGGCAGTGGTGAGCCCCGCGCTCCCCGCAGGAGATGAGGCAGGCGCAGGGTGAGCTGCAGAGGCTGAAGGACCAGGCGCCGCCGCCGCCGCGGGCAGTGAGCAGTGCGTTGCGGTGGTGGGGTCGAGGTTCGGCGTTGCTGTCGCTCCCGCGTCGTTTTTGCGCAGGCGTGCGCGCGCCGTGGCGCGCGCTTGGGCTCAGGACAGCTGTGAGAATGTGGCGCCGCTGGCGTCTTAGCGGAGCAAAAGTGCGCGCGCTTCCCTTTGCCCGCCCCACTTGTTTCCTGTATCTCGCCAGCCGCCTTCCTGACCCAGCGCCAGTCTGCGCCAGTCGTGATGACATGGTGTGGTCGGGAAAAAGGTTCAGGGTAACTTTGGGGCGGGTCAGGCTTCCATCAGCAGCAGCAATAGCGAGCAGGCCAAACAATGGCCGTGGAAGACGCTCGGATCGACCGCAGCGGTTCATCGCCGCAATCGTACACCTGTCTTACATTTTCCTCCCTCGTTATCCCTCCCCTCCTTCATAATGTGTGCACGGCGCCAGGCAGATGCAGATGCCTCGTGGGAGGGACGTGGGCTGCACTTCAAGGGCCCCACGACCTGCTGCCAAATACCGGCTCCTTTCTCCTTTCTCGCCTCCCCTCTCAATGGACCTCCTCCTTTTCTTTTTCCTCCTCCTCCTCCTCCTCCTCCTCATCATCATCATCATCATCATACTCTTGCCTTAATCGCGCTTGACGCTAGTCAGCGCAACTGCCAAGAGGGGGCATTGGGGTCGGTGGGTAGGACATCCAAGGGTGAGGTCGGTTCTTGGACGTTCATCGGCATCGCTTTGAGGAAGGCTCTCTCCCTCTCGGATGATGACTCGTCGATTGAATGGCCTTCTTGGATGCCCCTGGAAGCGACCGTCCTCCTCATCCTCCCACTTCTCCTCCTGCCTCCTTTCTTCAGTTTCTTCTTCCTCCTCGTCCCGCCTTCCTCCCCCTCCTCATTTTTGTCATGCGCAGGGAGAGGGAGGGGGAGGGAATGGGATGGGAGCTTCCCCTTGTCCTCCGCCTGCTCACTACTCGCATCCACCTCCTGCTACATTTTTCTCCTTCGTTTTCTCCACTCCCTCCTTGCCCCCCCAAGCCCTGCATCCGAATCCGGGCGGGGGCGGGGGAGAGGTGCGGGGGAGAAGGAGAGAGGAGCGCGCAACTCGGAGAAGAGCGCAGGGAGGTCCTGAGGAGCAGCAGGAGCAGCGGCAGGGGCAGCGGCAGGGGCAGCGGCTCCGGCAGCGGCAGGAGGAGCAGGAGCAGGACGACCGGGGGGGCCAGCAGCATCACCGCACGGCGGCCGCTGCTGCGGACCGCCTCCCGCCGCCGCCCCGCCAGGCGCACGCCAGGCGCGGGCTCGAGGCCGCGGTCGCGAGCGCGGACCCGCGGGCCTGCCCGGCCGCGCCGGGAGGGGGGCTGCCGTCGTGTAAGGCCGTTCCCTCGGGGGCGGCGTGGACGGGGGCGACGGCTCGTGGGGGTCGGGGGCGGAAAAAGAGGGGGGTGATGACTAGGGGGGGGGGGGTGGACATCATGGCGTGGGCCATAATATTTCCCCGGATTGCATGGCGCCTCTTCTTATTTCACTGCGTCCCTGGCCCCCCCGCTGGGCCGCGCACATGCCGCTGGTCATGATTTGCACCCCCCCCTCTTGGACACCCCCCTCTTGGCCGCTCCCGAGGGGGGGTGGCGGACTCCTGTGCGCAGGTGCTGGGGTGTGTTGCCGACGTTTTTCAGAGGCCCGAAGCGCTGTCCGGCAGCTGCGCTTCGTCGAGGGCCTGCCCGGGGTGCCCACGTCCCGGGCGGCCGCCGGAGAAACGAGGGCTGGACCGGAAAGCCAGAGGGCGACGTGCGACTACACTGATGGGCGTGTTTTCCACCACCACCACCATAAGTTGGAGAGGGGTCCTCCTCTGCCTCCTCTTCCTCTCCGTCCTCCTCCCCCTCCTCCTACTCCTCGCCCTCCTCCTCCTTCCCCCCATCCAACTTATGGTGGTGGTGGTGGTGGCGGTGGAAAACAGGCTCATCATACACGCGCGAGTGACCCTTCGCCAGGGTGACCTCCGGTGCGCGCCCACTCGGGCCCTACGATCGTCGCGTGCGGTGCGATAGTAGCGTCTTGCCCGCTTGTGTTCAGTCGGTCTCCCCGCGGCCTTCAAAAAGCCGCGCGCCGAACGTCACTCTTACCCAGGGTCACTCTTGCGTGTAGCCGAAGCGTCAGGAAGTGAGAATGGTCGGGGCCACGGTATCTCTCCAGATCTCAGGGCCCTTTCTTCTGCCTGGGCCACGGTATCACTTCAGATCTCAGGGCCCTTTCTTCTTCTTCTTCTTCTTTTTCTTCTTCTTCTTTTTCTTTCACGTCCCCTGGGCCCCTCCCCCCCTGGGCTGCGCCTGTGCCTCGGGCCACGATTTGCCCGCCCCCCTCTTGGACGCCTGGACGCCCCCGAGTCCACCGCCTCCTCGAGGGTGTCGACTACAGTCGGGCCGCTGAAAGAAGGAACACTAAATAAGGAACGAAGCCCCTTTTTGGCCCTAAAAGCGACTCCGTGCCCGAGGAGGGCGAGAGGGATAGCAATGGAGGAACATGGGGAACATCGAGCCCCTCCCGAACGCAAACAGTTCCTTACTTCAGCGTCTTGACTGTACACGTCGGAGTGACCTTTTCGCCAGAGCGGCCTTTTGATGCGGGCCCAGTGGGGTCCCCCGATCGCCGGGTTGCGGTGCGACAGTGGCGTCTTGCGCGCCTGGGTGTGCCCCCCCCCCCCTCCCCTCCTCCTCCCCCCCCCACTCCTCCTCCTCCTCCTCCTCCTCCTCCTCCTCCTCCTCCTCCTCCTCCTCCCCCTCCTCCTCCTCCTCCTCCTCCTCCTCCTCCTCCTCCTCCTCCTCCTCCTCCTCCTCCTCCTCCTGCTCCTCCCCATCCTCCTCTTCCTCCTCCTCCTCCTCCTCCTCCTCCTCCTCCTCCTCCTCTTCCTCCTCCTCCTCCCCCATCCCCCCCTCCGCGGCTTTGCGAAGGCCGCGCACCACGAGGCCACTCTTGCCTACCACGGCAGGACTGTGCCTCCACGTGCCACTGGCAGGCGAGGAAAACAGCACTCAGGAAGGGGCAGAAAGGAGGAAGGAGACCAGGACAAGAGGGGGGGGAGGAGCCGGAGGAGACGGGAGGAAAGAGCAAGGCCACGCCTCAAGTCGAGGTGTTATCGTCGCCTATGCCGGGGGGGGTGGAAAAAAGGTCACTCTTGCCTAGGGGTAAGTCGGACATGTCCCTCTACAGGGGGGAGATTCAACAATGAGTCAGGAAACAGTCTGGGGACGCTTGTTCTAGTATTTGTTCGACCATCCTTGCGCATTTTTTGATAATGTTCTGTTTTCGCCGAAAATCCGCCTGTAGGGGGACATGCCCGACCTGAGCCTGGGGTCTCCTGGCGTGCAGCCGAAGGGCGGACTTCTTAAGTTCAGGATGCTGCGACAGGGCTCCAGTCTGGCCTGCTGGCCACCAGCCAGCGGACACGCGCGCCTCACCTCGCCTCTGCCTTCTCGTTCCGTCCTGGTGTTTGGCCCCTTCGCCCCGCTCCACCGCCTCTGTCGATCTCGCTCGCATCCCCATCCTCCTTGTCCCCCTTGTCCTCCTCCTCCTCCTCCTCCTCCTCCTCCTCCTCCTTGTCCCCTTCTTCCTCTAGGCATGGAACCAATGCCACTGGACTGGCGGTCAGGACTCGCTCATTCTGCCGGAGTCCAGGCTCTCTGCGCAGCGCTCCGCCACGGCCGGCTCGTCCTCGTCGTACTCCTACTCGTCCTAATCTTTGATGCTCCTGTTTGTTTCCCTCCTCCTCCCCTTTCGCTTCCCCCCTCTCCCAATCGCGCGGGGAGGGAGTGCGAAGGAGGAGAACGAGAAGGGGGAGGCGGAGATGGAGAAGGAGGGGCAGGTTGAAGGTCGATGTTTCGATGTGATGTAGCATTGCTTTGCTGGATGACGCCGGACGACGGCGGCGATCGTGCTGATAATGCTGCTGTTGTTGCTGATGTTGATGCTGATACTGCTGATGATGATGATGCTGGTGATGATGATGCTGATGCTGAGTATGCTGCTGATGATGGCGATGATGATGCTGGTGATGATGATGCTGCTGATGATACTGATGGTGATGATGCTGATGCTAATGATGATGCTGATGCTGATGCTGATGCTGATGCTGATGCTGATGAGGATGATGATTGCGGTGGTGGTGGTCGTGGTGATGATGCTGATGATGATGATGATGATGGTGATGATGATGATGATTGATGAATGCGCGAACCTGCATGATTTTTGGAATGATGGTGATGATGACGATCCTGTTGATGATGGTGGCGGTGCTGGTGATGTGGATGAGGGAGATGGGGAAGAAGAGGGTGAGGAATTGGAGGAAGAGAAGAACGCGGAGGTCCGATGAGGATGAGGGAGGGAAGAAGGAGGTGGAGGAGGAGGAGTGGGGCCAGGGCGCAGGGATACCGGCGAGGAGGACCATGGGGCGGATGAGATGTGCAGTGGGATGAGGATATATCGGAGATGGGAGGGAAGAGAAGCTGCTCTTGGTTTCGGTGCGTTTCGAGCGTGACGTGCGTGCTGCCGAGGCGAGAAGCTGGGCGAGGACGCGAGAGATCCACAGGCCTCGTCTGGGCAGGGCGTTATCTCCCGTCGGCAAGCGGTGAGTCCCGTGGTTGTCTCGCGGGTGTCCGTTGTTGCCCCGTGGTTACCCCACATGTAGGTGAGGATATGTCGCCGCGCCGTTTGTTCCGACGCGCGGCCTTACGCATTTTAGATGGCGCCTCGGCCACCAGGGCAAGCTCCGCCTTGGGCTCAGGGTTTGCCGTGTGTTTGCCGCGGCGTCGGTGTCGTCTACGTGGGCGCATTCAGACCAAACGGCGCGGCGACACTTAATGTTTGAACATCTGAGCCGTCACATGGTGTAATTTGTAGTTCCCTAGCCAGCATAATAAGTTTAGATCACGGTCGGTGTGAGCGAGCTTGGGAACACGCAGCGGGCCGATCTGCGCCACTTGCAGGATGGATAGGTCGATTGATAATTTGATCGATTGCTCGATTGACAGTGATACGAGCATGTAGTTCGACCGATGCCGATACACTTGTATACACACATCTGTAGATCCATTGATGGTGCGCTTTCCCTGTATGAGAACGAAACCGACAACGAACGTACAATACATGTGTCTACCTATTTGTGTACATATATCTATATATATATATATATAATATATATATATATATATATATATATATATATCATTACAGGGAGACCGCCAGGACCGATTGTTGCATCGGTAGTGCGACAAACTGATCGACAGTACGATGTGTGTGTATATATATATATTTATATTGGGGTATCGACGTGCTTATATCGAGATCGCTGTACCCGTCGATCTCGAACATGATCTGACGCCAATCGCAAAACAAGAGCTGCACTCCTTCCCTCAAATCGCCTGCCACCCCAAGGGAAGTCCTATCGATACGGGTGTGGAGCGATTGGCAGCATGGGGCAGTGCAAGGATGGCGACGACCTACTCAGCAGACTCCTCTCCCTCCCGCTCTCCCCCGGCTCCCTTCCTCTCCCCCTCATCCCCATCCCCGTGAGGACGACCACGGCGACGCCGACGGCGGCGGCTGCGGCGGCGACGACGACGAGGTCGTCCCGCGCTGCCCGGCCGTCAGGACGCCGAGTTCCTGCGCCGCTGCATCGAGGAGGCCAAGCGGGTGGGCATCTCCAGGCCGCCGGGTGGCCCGCCGCGCGGCGCTCCGGGGCGCCGGCTGGCCGTGGTCTCCAGGGCCCAGCCGCCCCCCTTCCTCCTCCTCCTCCTCCTCCTCCTCCTCCCTCCTCCTCCTCCTCCTCCTCCTCCTCCTCCTCCCTCCTCCTCCTCCTCCTCCTCTTCTCCCTCCTCCTCCTCCTCTCCTCCTCTTCCTCCCCCCTCCTCTTCCTCCTCCTCGGCCGCCCCTCGGCCGCCCCCCCGACCCCGCCCCTGCCTCGGCCGGGAGCCTCCCTCCCGCTGGGCTCCTCCTCTTGCTCCTCCTCTTCTCCCTCCTCTTCTTTCTCCTCCTCCTCCTTCTCCCCCTCCTCCTCCTCTCTCCTCCTCCTCCTCCTTCTCCCCCCCCTCCTCCTCTTCCTCCTCTTCTTCCTCCGCCTCTTCCTCCTCCTCCTCTTCCTCCTTCTTCCCCTCCTCCTCCTCCTCCTCCTCATCCTCCTCCTCCTCCTCTTCCTCGTCCTCTTCCTCCTCCTCCTCTTTCTCCTCCTCGGCCGCCCCCCCGCCACCGCCCCTGGCCCTGCCAGGGCCCCCCCTCCCTCTGGGCTCCTCCTGCGCAGCCGCTCAGATCTCGGGGGTCGTTCTCTCCACTGCACGTAAGAGTGACCCCTTGCCGGAGTGACAGTTGGTGATGGCCCATTGGGGTCCCCCGATCCCTCAATGCGATAGCAGC